TCCATTATTTAGCCAATGGTGAACATTGGCAATTTTCCATTGAGTACCAATCCACTTTAATTCACCCCTTATTACTGGGTTAACAAATGTTAATTGCAAATAATGTTTTTATACTCCAAAATAACCACTTTTTCTAAGATTAAAAAATCCAAATAGGATTTTGATATGAAAAAATTGATTTTATCGCTTATTATTACAATAATTAACTACAATAAACGACAGTCAATTTTTTAACCTTTTATTTGTTTATACACCTGTCTTCAGCCTTACATTCTTGGCTATACAATTGTCTCTTTACAAATTTAGCTATTACAATATTTCTATAATTATTTCCTTATACTAAATTTTGCACCTACAGAGCGACTTGAAAATTAGGAGTACTCGCATTTGCCTGGACAACCCGTCTAATGGGTTTTCTCGCCAATGGAGAGGGAGACTGTAGAAAACCTCTCCTGAGTACAACCGGTTTATTGACAGTCGAGTTCTAATGGTGTGTATCGGACAATAATCGACGGTGCACATCATTATACCTCGACGTCAAACCTCCCGCTCAGATTGTCTCACGTGCCGGAAAAATACCAAGCCAAATGGGCGCGAACCAAGGGTACTTACTAGGGTGGTCCAAAAAAAGTAAAATCGTAATTTTAATGCTCTCACCCCCTATGATTGTTCTATACGGAGAAAAAAATACCCCTATTTTTTTTTTAAATAAAAAAATATTTAGAGGTAGCTCAAAGTGCTCAAAGTTTTTCATGTACAATGCATGGGAAAAAACAGTTTTTCGTAGAATTTGTATAGAATCCTTAAAAATCAATATTTTTCATTCAGCAAACTCTGTTTCTCTTCAGAAGACTTTAAAGAATAGTGCTAAATTGTTTATTTAATCATTTTTTTAAATTAACTATTTTTCATAGTGCCCCAAAAAAACCCCATAAATTTCCAAATTATAAAAAAATCGTTAAAAAATATTTTTTACTATTTGTATCTAAGTTTTTTCCTAGATTATGAATAAATAACACAAATATTGATTTTTAAACATTATTCCATGTAATTTCTAATTTGTTTAAACAAATTATTATTGTTTATTTACAACTTTTTATCCAATTGAGCTAAAGAGTTGCGATTTTTTCTCAATTTTGCAACTTTTCAGGCCGAAGGTAACCAGTCACTATCAACTAACTAAGAATATTAATTTTACCAATTGTTTAAACAAATTACTATTGTTTAACTTCCACTTTTTATCAAATTGAGCTACAGAGTTGCAACTTTTTCTTAATTGTACATTTTATTTTTTTTGTGAGGTGATATTTAATGTAAGACTTAATTATCAAGTAAAAATGGTGAACAAGAAATTTATTATTATAAAAATGTTAAGTTCCAAAATTTTTATTTACATCGTTGAAATTACTACTGTTATAGCTTCAAATTTAAAGTAACAATTTGTTTAAACAATTGGTAAAATTGTAATTCTTAGATTGTTGTTAGTAACTAGTTACATTTGGCTTGAAAAAATGCAAGTTAAACAATAGTAATGTGTTTAAACAATTGGTCAAATTATGATTCTTAGTTTACTGTTAGTAACTGGTTACATTCGGTTTGAAAAGTTACAAAATTCAGAAAAAATCGCAACTCTGTAGCTCAATTTGCTGAAAAGATAAAATTAAAAAAGTACTTACCCTTGGTCCTTAAACGACCGCCAAGCGAGGCATCTATCCGACTGAGCTAATCTGTCGGTAGTGGTTATATTTGAGTATAAAAACATTATTTGCAATTAACATTTCTTAAAGTAAACATCCTATAAAATGAAATTTATAACCATTAAAAAATATCTTTTATGGTAATTTGAGTTAATCAACACAGGTCTCCTCAGAGGTGGGCAGGTTATTCTAAAATGTAACGCTACAAACTTGGTGGGGAGTTGTTCTAAATGACTTTCAGATTCCAAATTTTCAAACCGATAAATCGTACCTGATCCTCTTTTCGAATTATCTCTTATACAGATAGTCGGAAACTTGAAAAATTTATTATCTCAATGTGGAAGCTTTGATTCAGAAGACTGCTGATTTTTCGTTACTAAAAATTTTTTAGACAAAGTTTTTACAGACAATTATGGTTCCGAATTGTCTCTTCTTCAAGAAACTTTTTGATATTTTGAATTTGGACACGTCTGTCACATGTTAAAGTGCTACATATATGAATATATATATATAATTTCAGAAGCCTGCAAAAAAATAAAAATTTCCGTTGTCTGAGATCGAGAAGTCATTTACCGAAGCTTTTGGTGCGCTAAATCCGAATTAACATTTAACAAAAACCTCCCATCACGTCAGGATTTTGAGAAAATTGGGGGTAAAATACCCAAAAATCATTTCTTAGTAGTTTTTGAAAATTTCTACTAGGTAAATCCGACGTGCTAGAGACTTGTCATATGAGTTAAATTAAAGCTTAAACCCTCTACTTTTCGAAAATATAGCGATATTGCCAACAGCAAACTAAATTAACTGTCAAAATTGATTTTTTAACAGTTGTCCTGCATACAAATTGACCTAAATACAACTATTTTAAAAAATGATTGGATTCGCTAAGAATTTGTTACTTGGGGGTTTTCGGGATCGCTGATTACGAATATGACGTCAGATTTTTAAAACTCAAAATGTTTAATCCAATATGGCGATCGACTTTTAAAAATCGATTCAATTTGCCTGAAACTCGTTACTCGCGGGATTTCGGGGTCGCTGATTAGGAATTTGTCCACAGATTTTTTTATTTTGAAATCATATTCGCAATCAGCGACCCCGAAACCCCGCGAGTAACAAATTTTAAACCAATCCAATCATTTCTTAAAACAGTTGTATTTACAAAAACTAAAAAGTGATTTTTGGGACTTATAGGGGAGAGTGGGGCAAGACGGGGTACCGGCCCTATTTCACAAACGAATTAACCAATCGCGATTATATTTTACATAATACTGCACCGAGACGATAGTTTTTTGTTTACAAAACCTAAAAGCCATGAGAACAAATCTTTTACCTGTTTTACTAAAAAACTGTTTTCGACGATTTTCTTGTGAATTTTTCACTTTTTTAGGAGGTGTTTATTATTTAATAATAACGGTTAATGAACTACATAAAAATTTTTATAACTGGCAAGGGTTACAGAAAAAGGGAAGCATATGTTTTTTTCTTTGTTGAATCGTAAATTGTAGTAATTAATCATTTTATTCAATTTCGTAGGTGCAGGCAAGATAGGGTAGGGAAGAGTGGGGCAAAATGGGGTACACAAATGAAGCAAAAGAAAAGAGAAATAAGGGAAGTTAAGAAAACTACTTAAATCAAGACTGAATAAAATAAGAGTGACCAAAAAGAAAAAAAAAGCTTGTCAGGTTAAATTAATAATTAGAGATGGTAAAGTGGAAAATACACCTTGTCTCTATAAATTGTAATGGTTATTATTTAGACTCAAATGAAGGCTGGGCTGCTTGTTCTGTCTGCGGCCAATGGGCTTTGTGCAGTTGTGCTAGTGTCGATGACGAAGATGAAGATGCAACCTTTACTTGTAAAATTTGTCGACAGAAATAGGTTGCTTTTTTAGTACCGCGCCGGTGGGTCAAGATGGGGAGATTTGCAATTTTTTTCATATTATTAATTTTATGATTTTTTAAGAAACAGATGGCCTTTGTTCTTCTTTATTACTAAAGACTGATTCCCAAAGATGGTTATTAAATAAAATAATAAAATATGTATTCGAAAATTTTCGTTTTTTTTGCGGTTTAAACCTTGAGTACCCCGTCTTGCCCCACTCTCCCCTATCCCCATTTTTCTCAAAATCATGAACATAATTATCTATAAAATCTTGGTCTAAAAAATTTTTAATAACGAAAAATCAGCAGTCTTCTGAATCAAAGCTCCCACATTAAGATAATACATTTTTAAGTTTCCGACTATCTGTAAAAGAGATGATTCGAAAAGATGATCAGGTACGATTTATCGGTTTGAAAATTTGGAATCTGGAAGTCATTTAGAACAACTCCCCACCAAGTTTGTAGCGTTACATTTTAGAATAACCTGCCCACCTCTGAGGAGACCTGTGTCAAGGTTCGACAAAATTAAGTTTTCATAACATAAATGAAGCATTCTATTTCAAAACGACCCCTCTGTAAACAAATGCCCTGTAAACCAATTGAATTTTGTTATTAGCAGTCTTGAAAGATAAATTCCTTTGAATTTCAATGCACCAATCGGTCGCAACACAACTTCACATTTTTAATTATAAATTGATGACAGATATTATCATTTTTTAATTTTCGAAGGTTTATTTTAAAGCTGAAATTTTAACGAAGATTTCTGTGTTTTTAAAAAAGTTTTATATAAATTTTTCTAGATTTTTGAAAAAGTTGAAGTCAAGAGACCAAAGTGAGAAAATTTAATAATTTTTTTTATCTCTTTCTTACTCTACAACTCAAAATATATTAAACAAAATGACTTGAAAGACGGCTTATTTTACGCAGAATTTAGTAAGTTTTCTAATCGTATTTAAGTTTTTCTTGTATCTCCTTTTATTTCCGAGGTATGATTAAAAAAGTGATGGCATGTTTTTTCATAGAGTCGCGTGTAATCGTCCTGATACTCGTGGACGGTAGTGTATATTAAAAAACTTACATATTACCTAATTAACAATTTTAGGTTAATAAAAAAAACAAAAGTCACTCTATTTAATTAGCGGTTCTCAATTTATACATATTTTAACCTCTGAAACGATTGTGGATTTTAATTTATTTCTCAAAATCCACTGAAATGTCCAAGATAATTTTTATAGGAATAAAAATAGAATATTTATGCTTTATTTTGACATCAATTTTATCAAAATCGGATATAACGTGTTTTGAGATATTTGGAAGTTTGGTTTATTTAAATGGAAGAAATATTTATTTAAAAATTGATAAAATTGTTATTTATCCTAATATTATCATTTTCTTTTTAACAGTAAAAAGTATTTCTTACATCACATTTTTCATGGATATTTCGCTTCCAATGATTTTTGTTCGATTTTGTTTTAATTGATGGAACAAGATTTGTAAATTGCTTTATTTTTGGATTCAAATTGAGTAGATTCTGAAAGAAACATTATAAAAAATTAATACATATTTCTCTTATTATTTAATTAGAGAAATTAAATTTGTTAAACTATTATATTGTTTTTTCTTTTTGCGTTAAAATTTAATAATTTTTATATTTAGATTGAAAAATTTTTGTTAAAAATTCAAATCCTCATTGCTTATACTGATAATTAAGTTTGTAAATAATTTGGAAAGTATTTTCTTAATAATTAAAACATAAATTAATTGCGCGTATTAAATTTTTTATGTAATTGGTAAAGGAAATTTTTTTCTAAGAAAGCAGCATATAATGAGAATAAATTAAATTCACCTCAATATCAGGAGTATCGTGACTTATCATTGTTTCAATTTTAGATGACATGTTTTATTAATTGACAATCTTCAAATTAAAATATTTATCACTGGTTGATAATTTTAGCACAACAATATTATATAACACCAAAAAAAGAAAGCAAAAATACACTCCAATACACTCACTTATTTAAAAATAATTTATAAATCGTAATGAAAAATTGATTAATTCATTTTTTTATTATTAAGTTGATTTTATCAATTTAGACAATTTATTTAGGTATATTTAGGTTTTTATCAATTTTTTATTTATTAATTTAGGTTTAAATAAATTGATAAATTTTATAATTAATATTTAATTTTAACTTATTATTATAAAATAAATTATTTTTTTAAAATTAACATTTATTCACTTATAAAAATTAATGGTAATATTGACAAATTTATTTAACCTTTATGGGACTGAGGAAAAAACACCTTCTATGGACGGACGAGGTACCCGGGTACCTATGTTTAATTTGACGATTTCTTATGGATATTATTATTAATTATAGCAACTGAATTACATATTTTATAAACAAATTATGTGTAGTACTATAAAAAATTGTTTTTTGAAATTTTTCATAATTTTTTCATAGAAATTTCAACATCTATTAGCCTGAAATGTACAGAGGTACCCGGGTACCTTGTCCGCCTTTTATGGGTGAAGAAATTTTGTTTATTTTTTCCAAATAAATAAATAAATAAGTTACATTATAAACAATATCAAAACACTTTGTATGGATAGATGTTAGATGCCAAAAAACCTTAGGTTGATACGATTTTCGAAATTATGAATAAAACCAATATGAAAGTGCAGAAGGTACCCGGGTACCTCGTCCGCCTTTTATGGGTGAAGAAACTTTGTTTAATATTTCAGAATAAATAAATAAACAAAGTACATTATAAATAATGTAAAAACACTTTATATGGATAAATTTGAGATGTCAAAAAACCCTGGGTCGCTACGATTTTAAAAAATATGAAAAAAATCAATTTTAAAATGCAAAAGGTACCCGGGTACCTCGTCAGTCCCATAAAGGTTAAAACAATAATCAATGATAGTAGATTAAAATTATTACTGACAGTACTAAAATGTTAATGGCAATAAATAACAAAATTCCATTCTACATTTTTTTAGAGTTAAAGATTATCAAATTTATAGAAAATTAAGTATTTTCTATCATTTAATTTGTTCTAATTTGTAATTTTAATTTTTTCTTTTTTTACTGATATAGTTACACTACATGTAAATTTTTGTTAAAATTTTATTTTTCTATTTACACTATAAATATATATTTTCTTTTACTGCGAAAGTAACTAAACTTACTGACTCCGAGTTAACGAAAAAAAAAATTTCTGTCTCTTTATAAGAAATTATTTTATTTTTTAAAAAACACTCGAAATAAATATGAATTATTTTTTATGTTTAATATGCTCTGTCCGGAGGTCTTGACATTTAAAAGAAAGATCTCGAGTGACTGGGAATTTTACGAAAGGCGTTGAGAAATGAAGTTTGTGGACATTGTACTACACTCACAATCTGTTACGTATGCACGTATGTTTTCATGAGATAAGACCATTGCAATTTCTTAATTATCTTTAATATGAAACTTATTTATATATAAAGACAACAAATGTAATAATAAAAAGAGAAGGTATTATTAATTTTCATAAATTACCTCATAAAAGTGGAAAATTATTTTCTAATATATATATTATATATATTTTTATTGGAAGCTGACATTTTTCCCGAAAAAATCATGTAAGTTTTATAGTGGGATGGCCATAAGTTTAGAAGAAAATTAAAAACAAACTAGGGTTAACCCCGAGTTAAATATTATCCAATCATCAAAAACATTCTGATGGTCTAACCAATCACCATTAACCCGGATTTAACTCGGTTTGAGTGCCGAAAACAGCCATAAATATCACTGTTTTATCTTCATCTGCCCAGGCAGAAATTTTCGTAAACAGCCGTAGTAAACGTCCGATCCACTACTAATATAATACTGTTGGACAGTACTGATTTTCCGTGTAACTTGTACTGGAACTTCGGCATTTTACTGGCTCAGTACGTGCAATGCGTTAGTGAAAAAGCTGCTATTATGACTGGTTTGAGGTTAAGCTACTAATACAGCCGTTGATAAATCAAATAGAAATAATTTTACTATAACTTTAATTTGCTATTTAATAACATTCTATATTAAATTCTTTAAATGTGTTAATGTTTTTCTAATCCCATCATAGTGTAGAATTTAGGTTATCTGTAAATTTAATTCGGTAGAAAATTTTTACTACCTATTACCGTTTCCAGTTATTCTGATAAATTATTATTTAAAAAATATATAAATTACAAAATAAATGGATTAACACGAATTCGTATGAAAAAAAGTAAAATAGAACTATTTATTCTAACACATTTCAAGTTCATGTGAATACATAATTATTCTTGTTAACTAATATCAAATTACACACTAAATCTTTAAAAGTAATTTTTATTTCTTATTTCAAAATAAAATTCCAATTTCCTAATTTGTCTATTTCTAATTTTTCTTTACAAATTTCAGATTTCGAAATTATATAGTGAATGTTTAGAGGTTATATTTCTTCAGCGCAGCATTGCTTTATAACTGGTCTCCTACTAAGCTCAAGCCAGAGGCGTTACCTCCCGATGTTGGACACGTAATAGGCCAGTATAAAAGTCAGTACTGGTTGTCATTTTCCCGTACTGAACCAGTAATATGCCATCGTCAATTTCTACCTGGGTGCTTTAGTAAAAGCTTTCTGTATTTTATAGAGTTGAGACTGTCATAAAAATAATGCCTGCATTACTGTTACCGAAAAAAATTTTAAATCAATTATTTTGAAAAAGAATGGTTAAAGTAAATATGCAGGGAGAGTTCTAACCCACTAAAATTGAACTGCGCATGCGCATACCTAAGTTTTGGCGCGAAAATTTAAATTTTGAATCTAAGTATATACGCTATTTGGATGTGTGTGAACATGATCATTTGGTATGAGATTTTTTATGCACTTTGATCAGCATGTGATAAGAGGTAAGTATTATGATGCTAAGGCGGATATTACATTACAAGGGGGGGGGGGGTAATATTTAGACCACGATTCTGAGGCGGATATGATATCACGGATGGGGGGCAGCCCATGATTCTGAGGCGGATATGACATCACGGGGGAGGCCACGATGCTGAGCCGGAAATGACGTCATACTTCTTAGAATTTTGACATCTGTAATTTGATATCTTGTTTATTAGATTCTAATCTTTGGAGTTTTTACCATCTACTTGTTGTTTATAATATCTTTGATTTATTGCTTCCGGTTTGGGATTTATTTAAAGAATTTTTCCCACGTGTAATTTGATACCTATTTATTTCTTGGAATTATTTTCTTTATTTAAGCTATTGTTTTACATGTAATTTGATATCTTGTTTATTAGATTCTTATCTAAGGAATTTTCCCCATGTACTTGCTGTTTATGATATCTTTGATTTATTGCTTCCGGTCTGTTTTATTATAGAGTTTATTTATTTTGTTTTGACTAAGTTTTATCTAAGGAATTTTTGCAAACATTTTCGTTACTTTTCATAAGAATGCTTTTGATCTTACCGCAATTCTACGAAATCTATAATAAACTTCAAGGTCAAATAGGTCATATCTTGTGTATATAAAGAGGGCAGTTTTTCTAAACGAAATCATTTCTGCAGTTTAGGTTGGATAATGAACATATTAGCAGAACAACGTCGTGAAATTTAAGTGCGCTTGAACATATTAATTCATGAAATTGATAAAAGTAAAAGTTTAATTAAAGAAAGGTCACAGTTAAATATTTTAGTGAAAAAATTTGAAAATTTAAATTTAACCCTTTAACGCCCAAATGGACAAAATTTTGGTATGAAGTTTGAGAACTTATTTCGGTACTTAAAAATCAATAGAAAAATTCACGAATCATCATTTCTTATGTTTTCATATGCGCTCTATCGAATGGCGTTAAAAAAAGTCAAAAATTTATAAACAAAAAAGTTAGTAATGTTTTTTATAAAAAAAGTCCGATTTTTTCTAATTTTTGTTTAATTTTCAATTTTTTCTACTATGAAATAGCGAAAAAATAATTCCAAATGTTACAAAAAACGTGACATAGATATATAACCTAGAAGATAGGACTATAGAGAAAATTAAAAATTAAAATGGTGGCTCAAAAATGGAGTTTGAAGTTCAATTTTTTTCAAAATTTGATTCGATAGTACGAAATTGTTTAAAGTTTAGATCAGCTTGAAATTTGTTACTCGGGGGTTTTAGGGGTCGCTGATCAGATATCTGAAATCTGATTTTAAAAATTAAAAATGGCGGATCCAATATGGCGGACAATTTTTTTAAAAACTCAGTAAATTTGCTTGAAACTTGTTATTTGGGGGGTTTTGGGGTCGCTGATTATGAATCTGAAATCCAATTTTAAAAATTCAAAATGGCGGATCCAATATGTCCGACAAATTTTCAAGAACTCATTAGATTAGCTTAAAATTGTTACTCGGGGGTTTTAGGGGTAGCTGATCACGAATCTGGAGTCCAATTTTGAAAATTCGAAATGGCAGATCCAATATAGCGGACAATTTTTCTAAAAAATCATTAGATTCGTTTGAAACTTGTTACTCGAGGGATTTGGGATCGCTGATTACGATTATAATGTCCAATTTTTAAAATTAAACATGGCCGCTCCAATATGACATACAAATTTTCAGTTGAAATTCGATAATCACGTTCTTTAGCCATTAACCCTTTAACGACGAGATGTGCTACTTTTCAACATGAAATTCAATCTCTGACAATTAGTAGAAAAAAGCCATAAAAGTTTTTAAAAGTCCATACCCTACTATTTTTGGGGTCGCTCTTTCGAATGGTGTGGTCAAAATTTTCAAAAAATGATATTTAACCCTTCTTTTTTCAAAAATACTAAAAAAAGTCAAGTTTTTTTAATGTAATTTTTTTCAAAAGAATTTTTTTCTGTATCATAACGCTTTTCAAATAGAACAAAAAGTATCAAAAACGTGTTCCCGATAGTTGTACTTGAAAAATATTCATTTCTAAATTTTATTTTTTTCGATTTTGAATTTAAAATGGCGCTTGAAGGACAAAAATTTTTTCTTATTTTACGTAAGATGACAAACTTTTTCAAAATTGCTCAAATCTGATTGAAATTTGTTACTCTGCGGTTTTTGGGTTCGATAATGACGAATCTGACGTTAGATTCAACAAATTCAAAGTGGCCAAAGTATAATGAACGACTAATTTTTTTAATTTACTCAGGTTTGCTTGAAATTTGTTAGTGTGGTATTTTTAGGGTGGCTGATTACGAATATGAAGTCACATTCTAAAAATTCAAAATGGCGGAATTATTATACTCTTTTTGCTCTGACTCTACCAGTATCAACTTATCTATATTTCACAATATGTGACAGGAAAATTTAAAAGTGATCTATGGTACGAGAAAATGGATGTTAGTTTTTCAAAATTCAAAATGGCGGAACGAATATGGCAGACGAAATTAAAAAATTAGTCGGATTCACTTCAATTTTGTTACTCTAGGGTTTTCGGGTCCACTGATTGCGAATCCGATGTTCGTTTTTAAAAATTCAAAATGCTTGGTATAAAATAGCTATAAGAATTGGTAAGGATATTTTTTACACCTCGTCTGCCTTATCGATTCCAACATTTTGAATTTTGAAAAACTAACATCGGATTCGCAACCAGCAACTCCAAAAACCCACGAGTAACGTGTTTCAATCAGGTTTGAGATATTTTGAAAAATTCGTCCGCCATTCTGGATCCGGCATATTGAATTTTTTTAATCTAACGTCAGATTCGTCATTATCGAACCCAAAAACCGCAGAGTAACAAATTTCAAGCGAATCCGATTAATTCTTAAAAAAGTCATCTGTCATATTGGATCCGCCATTTTGAATTTTGAAAATCTGATATCAAATTCGTAATCAGCTACCCCAAAAACCCCCGAGTAACAAGATTCAAGCAAATCTGAACAATTTTTGTATTTCGTCTGCCATATTAGATCCGCCATTTTGAATTTTGAAAAACTGACATCGGATTCGTAACCAGCGACCCCGATAACCCCCGAGTAACGAGTTTCAAGCGAATTCGATCAATTTTTTAAAAAAGTCATCCGCCATATTGGATCCGCCATTTTGAATTTTGGCAAATGGACATCAGATTCGTAATCAGCGACCACGAAAACCCCTGAGTAACAAATTTCAATCAGATTTGAGCAATTTTGAAAAAGTTTGTCATCTTACGTAAAATAAGAAAAAAATTTTGTCCTTCAAGCGCCATTTTAAATTCAAAATCGAAAAAAATAAAATTTAGAAATGAATATTTTTCAAGTACAACTATCGGGAACACGTTTTTGATACTTTTTGTTCTATTTGAAAAGCGTTAAGACACAGAAAAAAATTCTTTTG